AACACTGAGAACACCTGCCTCGGAGAACCACTCTGAAGAAATACCCGACGGCCAGTCCTAATGCGCAGGTGTCATCTTGTCCGCCCTCTGGGCAGCAGATAGGTGCTGAGGGCCACACAGAACGATTTATATATAAAATTGTGTGTGTGTAAATACATATATATGTGTGTGTGTATATATATAATTTTGTGTGCATTTTACTACAATAAACCCAAATATTCACCTAATTTGATTAACCAATGTCACCCCAATACATTTAATAAAAAATTAAAAACACACACATCCAGCTTTTCTAGAAATGACAGAAGATCTACAAACTGGGCCCCGGTGCCACACGGCCACGACCAGCTGGAGTTAAGGAGCCCCGTGCCCCTCTGACGACGCTGTCCAGGTCGCCAGTGTGTCACCAGTCCCTTTACTCGTTTGTTACCAGATGGCCCCTGAAGGGATTTGATCTTGATCTCTGATTAAACTCTAAAGCTTTCTATAATGTTCTTTACAAATCCAGTATGTCACTTTTTATGGTTTCCTGTCTCCTGCACACACTTTAAAACGTCTTTCTTTCATCAAAGCACAGTTGTTTTATAGTCTGTGATGAGTCTAATATTTGAAGTGTCTGAAGTTCTGTTTTTGCTGGTTCTTGCTCATGGTGTCCTGCTTCCTTGTGATCTGCCAGCTTCGCTTTGACCATGCTGAACGCTATTTTAAAATGTACTAATAGGGATCATTGGAGGCCCGGGGTGAAGTTACCTTCCTCAAGGGATGCTTTACGTTAGCCCTGCCAGGCTCTTGAGGACACTGCTAGTCCAGGACGACCTACATCCAAGTTCAGGCCTTGTGGGTCCCTGGGCCACCCAGGTGATGCCCATATAGGCTGCCCAATTGAGCAAGACTGGTTTGCTGATTGCACCCTGAGGGTGGGGTCAGTGATGCGCGGCAGCTGGCTGACAGGCCTGCACTTTCCATTTCTGTGTTCAGTGACTTCCTGTTGATAGTTTGAAATCAGCCATGGCCGGAGCATTTACACCATGGAAATTGGCAAATGCTACATACACATCAGGACCCTTTCCCCAACTCCACCCGAAAGCTCGTTGGTAAACATTTACCAGCATACCGATGGTAGAGCCTAATGGGGCCCCAAATTATTGTGGGGAAGGTCTCCCCCAAAGTGTGAGCCCTCGGATAAGTTTCAAATAGACTGGGGAGGCCTTGAAAAAAAAAGGTTTTTGTTAAATCAAGCACTGCTAGAAAAAAAATGTCACCAGCTCAGATACTAGCGGATTGGCATCTCGCATACCCATCGATACAGCAGTCGGCTTGCCTAAAAGTTGGTCCACTTGAAGACACATGAAAATGAGAGAGAGCAGACATAAGGTGTTTTAAAAGACTAACGTGTTCAAAGGTGAGATAGTGTAGTCTAGACACTCTTCTGGCAATAAATGATTAAACGCAGACTGTCTGGGTCACGACCCAGTGACCTGGAGCAAAGTTGGAATCTCTCCACCACCAACAGGCTTGGGGACTTCTCAGGTCAGGAATCTAGAAGGTTCCTCCCGTATGTGCAGTCATTTTGGCTGCCCAGCATCTGAATACCCCTCCGAGTTTGGGGGTGAAGTCACCCCCTCACACACACTACAGAAGCTAAAGGGGGCCTGGCTCTCTCTTCACCCAGGGAATTAGGTCCTGGGCATTAGCCAGTTGGTAGATGGCCTAGCCAGTTGATTTTTTTTTTTAAATTAGTTTGTTTGAAATATCATTAACATACCATAAAACACACCCTTTCAAAGTGGTTTCTACTATGTCCACTGAGTTGTGAAACCATCACCACAATCAATTTTAGAACATTTTTGTCACCGAGAAAGAAACCCTCCGCTCATTCGCAGGCATTCTTCCTCCCCCCTCCCCCAGCCCCAGCCCCGCGCGTCTACTTCCTGCCTCTACGGATTTGCCTGTTCTGGACCTTTCACATAAAAGAAATCATATAATACGTGTCCTTTTGCGTCTGGCCTCTTTTATCACCGTTCATCCATTTATGGACATCGGGCTGTTTCCATTTTTTGGCCATTATGAAGAATGTTGCTATGAACATTAGTCCACGGGTTTGGTTTTGTCTTTTTTAAAGCCTCACCCGAGGATATTTTTTCCATTGCTTTTCAGGGAGAGTGGGAGAGAGCGAGCGAGCGAGCGAGAAACATCCATGTGAGAGAGACCCACAGCCGGGGCATGTGCCCTGACCAGGAACTGGACCGAGCGAGATCTCCTGGTTCACGGATCGACGCTCAACCACCGAGCCAGGCCAGCTGGGCATTGACTTTATTTTTATTTTTTTTGAGAGAGAGAGTAGGCGCAGGGGAGAAATGACTCCCAGCAGGGCGGCCCTTGGAGAGCCTGAGGGGCCTGGAGCACGGAGCCCCCTCGGGTGGCAGTGCCGCTGGCATCGCGTCCTGGCTGCCTTTGGCCCCCCTTGTCTCCAGCGCTTGCTTCCCGGTCTCTCCGTGGAGTCTGTGAGTTGCCCGCCAGCGGCAGTGGAGCCAGCAGCGGGCAGCCCTCTCCCCGGGCCTGATGCCCCTCACCTGGGCACTAAGAACCCGCTGTCACCCAGAGAGGCAGGAGGCCTGTCAGCAGCTCAGGAAAACACAAGCGAAAGGGCACAGGGGCCCCACTATTAACTGTCCCCTGAGGTCAGTCCCTACGCTCAGGATTGCACTACTGCTGAATGTTGCATCAGCCTGGGTGTGTATTTAAATATTCCTCTAAGCTAAGCTAACACAGGTTGGTTATGTTGGATGAGTTGGGTGGCAACTTGCTGTAGATCCCCAGTGCCCCGTATCTATGTATTAGCGTCAGTTTTGAGGCAGCTGCCCGCAGGGAAACGCTAGCCAAATCCCCGAAGAACACGTTCAGGCTGAAAACAGCGGTGTCTAGCGTAGGCCGTGGCTTAAGGACACAGATCTTTAAAATGAGCCCCATCTGCCCGGCCGGCGTGGCTCAGCGGTTGAGGTTGAGCATCGACCTACGAACCAGGAGATAGGGGTTCAATTCCCAGTCGGGGCACATGCCCGGGGTTGGGGGCTCGATCCCCAGTCGGGGGCGTGCAGGAGGCAGCCAACCAATGACTCTCATCATTCATGTTTCTGTGTCTCCCTTCCTCTCTCTAAAATCAATAAACACATTGATATATTTCTATTTTAAAAGGGGCCTCCAAGGCTGGGCTGTGGGGAGTCACTGACACGGATCTTGCTGTCCCTTGCTAGCTCGGCATGGACCCCATACGGACTGAGAGGCCGGAAGCTGGCTCAGCTCAGAGGCGGCGTCTCAGCAGGGCTCTGACGGTGGTCCGGCCACAGTGGGTCCGACTGGCCCCTGGTCATTCTGCTGAGGACAGTTGTCCCAGTATCTGCAGTCAACAAGAAAAACATCGGAGTGTGGGCCTGATGAAGGAAGCCTCTGGTTGGTGTCCAGGCTGCATCCAGTTCCAAGCTATTATTTTTTTTAAAGAGAACAAGTCATTTGAGGGTTTCCTGTTCCCTAAAACGTCCCCGGGAACTTTATAACTGGCTGGAAAATATGTCTCCGAAGCCCTTAACAGCTACAAAATTGATTCACAGAGCTTGTTTTTCTTTGGGTTGGTTTTTTTTTTTTTTAAACAAAATGTAAACTAGCGCTGGTGACACAATGGGATCGGTGGGCGCCTGTGGGACCTGAGCCCACGCCGTCTGTCCCAAGGTCGCAGTGACACAGTCTGGTTCCGGTAGACGGTCCCGGTCTGCGGTCCAGAGACTCCCGGTGCCAGTTTTCCAGGTGGAGGCCACGCAGCGAGGAAGGCTCTGCTGTTGTTTCTCCCACACAGACCCGGCTCCTGAGCACAAAGCACCTTGACCGGGGTCAGAAATGTTTCCCGAAATACTAGTTGCATCCTCTGGAAGGGCCTGGTTTGGGTGGGTGGGTGCCCTGGACCGAGCAAGTGTTGAGAATGACACCGGGCACGTTTGCCTGAATTAAAGACGACCTCGTAACGGAGGACAGGGCTCTGAAATCAGACCGTAACGATCACCTGTTGGCACGATGCTGGTGCTTTATTTTTTAACTTTTAAACTTTTTTTTAAATATGTTTTTATTGATTTCAGAGAGGGAGAGGGAGAGAAACATCCATGATGAGAGAGTCATCGATCGGCCGCCTCCTGCAGGCCCCCGACTGTGGACCGAGCCCACAGCCCGGGCCTGTGCCCTGACCAGGAATCGAACTTCAATCTCCTGGATCCACGGCTGGTGCTCAGCCGCTGAGCCACGCCGGCCGAGCAAAGGTCAAAGCACCAATGAGAACCCAGTGATGTTCCCTAAACACCCCTGGGCTGGGGGACCAGCCGGGGTTTGCCTCTGCGCGTGGTCAGCCCAGCGGAGTGTGAGGCGGAAGAGCCACCAGGTGGGTGTCCGCCGCCCCCGCGGTTTCTGGCCCAGGTGCCGCACCCGCAGGGTTCTGGGTACTTTCTTTGCATTCTCTCCAACGGCTGCCGCCGGGGTCAGGCATGGCTGGTGGTGCTCCTCATAACGGCCGCGCCAACTGCCTGGGGGTTTCCTGATCAGACGCCGTGAGCGAGAGACTCCCGGGGGCCCAGAGGCCCCAGCGCCCCCCCCAGCCTGACAGCAGGCGGGGCCCATCCCATCCACATTAGGCCAAGGGTCCAGGGGGCTTCGGGGGGAAGGGAACACAGTCGCCCGCGTCGCTAGGACGGCCTGCTGAGGGCTGAGGCCCTCTCTGCCCCCGGGGCCGCACCACCACCTCTGTGCCCCTTTCAAACGCCCCTCCGGGCGGCCTGGCCCTGCTTGTCTCGCCTCCGCCCGCATCTAACTTTGCGAATTCCGCTGCTCAACAGAAATTTGCTTTTAATGCCTAAACCGTTCGAAAGATTGGAGTGGCGGGAGGGAGACACGTGGAAAGTCCT